TCGTCTCTCTGTCTCCTTGTATGCATTTTGCAGTGCTGACTTTCTTTTGTCTCTTTGTCTCTATGCTGTCCCTTCTCTGTCTCCTTTTAGCTGTCTCCTTTTGTCTCTGTCTCTTCGATTGTTGGTGTCTCCTTTAATCTTCATACATTTATCTGTCTCCTTCTGTCTCCGACTGTCTCCTTGCTTCTTTATTCTTTTGCTAACCTGCTGTCTCTTCTCTGTCTCTTTTGCTGCTGTTGTCTCTAAGGGGCTTCATTTGCTGCTGCTGCTGTTTGTCTCTCTCTCTTTACTGTCTCCTTTTGCTGCTGCTGTTGTCTCCTGTCTCTGTCTCCTGCTTGCTCGTTGCTGCTGCTGCAATTGCTTACCGGGCCCTTTATGTTTATTTTGTTTATTTATTTTATTTATTTTGTTTATTTATTTTATTTATTTTATTGTTTTGTTGTTTGTGTTTAGAATGCAGAAGAACTAATGGAGACACTTTCTCAGTGTCTCCTCGCAGGTGTTGATAGAGACTGCGTCTCTGGTTGGGGCGGGGTTGTTCACGTTGTGTGAGTTGCTGCTGCTGCTTTTGCTGTTGCTGCTGCTGCTGCTGCTGCTGCTCCTTCACTTGCTGCTGTTGCTTCTGCTGCGGCTGCTTCCCTTGCTGCTGCTGCCGCAGCCATTTCAAGCCTTGTTGCCTGCCTCCTCCTCCGCTATTGCTGCTGCTGTTGATGCTGCTGCTGCTGCTGCTGCAGGACGCCCGAGAAGATAATAACTCGACACCTGAAGGGCCGCATGGATTGATGCGGTGTATCTGTTATGTGTTGGTGTTGTGGCTGTGAGGTGAAGATACACCCCTACTCAGACAGGCCCCCGTGCTGCTGCTGCTGCTGCTGCTGCTGCTGCTGCTGCTTCCTTTGCAGACTGTGCAGCAGCATTAAAGCAGCAGCAGCAGGCAGCGGCGCACCAGCTGTCTCCTTCTGGTGTCTCCTCTTTCCCGCTCGCACAATACACAAAAACAGCTGCACGCCTAAGTACACACCTGCGGAGACACTTCATAAAACTATATGCATGCATTTAACTGCTGCAGCAGCCAGCTGCTGTTTGTGCTGCCCTGAGTGCAGCGAACTGTCTCTAGGAGACACCTGGGGAGAGGAGACACCTCATAAGCCCCTGCCTGTCTCTTTGCAGCAGCACAGCAGCCTTTGCTGCCATACTGTAGTTAGGGGCTTAGTGTCTCCTGCTATTGCTTTAGGAGGCAGAGAAGCAGAGGAGACCCTTAAAGGAGTGTAGCTATATCTGTTAGGCGGCTCTAGCAGCAGCAGCAGCAAATAGAGACACGAAAGGAGACACCCGGGAGACAATGCGCATGAAGTGTCTCCTAAAGAAACAAATTCTTCACTTGCTGCTGACTAGAAGAAAAAGGAGACAGCTCCTGCTGCTGCTGCTGTAGCTGCAGCAGCAGCCTGCTGCTCCTCCCACGGAGACAGGAGCCACAGAGGAGAGCAAGATGCAGCAGCAGCAGCAGCAAACGAGCACTGACGTGCTGCAGCAGCAGCTGCTGCTGCTGCTGCTGTATCACCTTTAGCGTCCCCTGTGTACTAAGTATCTCTGGAGCTGTCTCCTTCTCAATTGGTGTCTCTTGAGGTGTCTCCTCCTCAGCAACTGTCTCTTTAAGTGTCTCCTTCTCCCCTCTCTACCCGTAAGCAATAAATGTAAGGCCCCCAACATAAGGGTTTTAACATAAGGGTTTTAAGAGGATGTGCTGCTGCCTCACATGCAGAAGATAAATAATAAGTGTCTCCTCCACAGAATCTCAACAGCAAAACCCTTAGCAGGTGGTGCTGCTGCTGCAGGGAGACAAACAAACAAACTGTCTCCCTGAGGAGACGACTGCGCGGCTGGGGCGGAAGTGTCTCCTTCTCTGTGGCACTGCAGCAGCTGCTGCAGCTGCAGCAGCTGCTGCAGCAAACCCGAGCTTGTTCTTATTTTAGCATGCTATTGAGAGGAGACAGTCTCTCCTCTGTTTCTGTTTTGCATACAAGGGGCCTCACTAGCTGCTGCTGGGCTATTGATATTAATATTAAAGCAGCACCGCAGCAACAGCAGCAGAAGCAGCACAGATGTCTCTTAAAAGGAGACACTTCGCTTGTGGGGCCCCTGCAGCGGCACCACCTGATGGAGCCCTTTACTGCATCAACTACTCTTGCTAAGGAGACACCTCATTTATAAACACAACAGCAACGGAGGAGACACTGAAGAGACACTTGCAATAACTTCTCTATTCAAGGGGCCCCCTAAGCAAGGGGGCCCCCAAGGCAAGGGGCCCCTTCAAGCATTGGGGGCCCCTACCTTGGGGTTGGGGCCCCTTGAGGGAAGGGGACCCCCTTGAGCTTTGTTTTGTAACGAAGGAGCAGCTAATATAAAGGGGTCAGCCAAAGAGCTTGAAGGGGCCCTCCCGCAATATCTATGTACATATATATATATATATATATATATCTATATTATATCATGCAGATTGTTAAGTACACACACGCACATATATTTATCTATATATATATGCCTATGCAGTTGTATGCTTGAATACAATTAATAAACCTTGTAATTAAGCCTAGAGTTCGATAATTAAGAGGTATAATAAGTAAATAAATTTATTTATAAAGAATACACAAAGACAATTCTCTTTACTATTGGGTGGATTAGCTAAGGGGGTTTGCGGGCCTTTGCGGGAGTAAAACGGTGTTTAATAGGTGAAATATGAATTAAATAAATAAAATTAAATAATATATTCGAAATATTTAATTAAAATCATACAAATTGAACCTTAAAAGCTCAGCATACACCCCAGCAGGGCCTCTTCTCTAGTTGTCTAGAAGAGCATTCATAGGCTGGTGGGGGTAGACATCTTTGTGAATAAAGAAAGAAATAAATTAATAAATTAATAAAAGAAGATATTTCAATGAAAAATATATTTTTATGCCTACGAAGTAGAAATATGTAGGGTTGCTGCTGCTGCTGCTGCTGCTGCTGCTGCTGCTGCTGCCAATACACCCCGCTCAGCTGCAACAGTGCAGCAAGCAGCAAAGAAAGAATTAGAAGGAAAAGACAAGAGGATTTTAAAATTATTATTAAATTTAAAACAATTGATTGAAATATTCATTATTGTTGATGTTTACTTACCCGTGCAGGGGGACCTTGCTTCGGGCGGGGCTGCAGCTGCAGCCGCTGCTGCTGCTGCTGCTGCTGCTGCTGCTGCTGACGGGTACTTGGGCCGCAGCAGCCAGGCGTCGGTGGTGCGGCTGTTTAAGTTTGCGTTTGGTGGTGTTTAAAAGAGCAGCATAACATTAAGAGCATTGATATATAAGCAGTATATACACTGAGATTGCTGCTGCTGCTGCTGTCTCCTTTGCTGCTACCGGTGCTGCTTCCTCAGCTCCTTTAAGCTCTCTCTCTCGCTTAGGGGGCCCCTCTCTGTCTCTGTTATATTTTGTGCTGTCTTTTTGTTCTTTTAATATACTTTTATACCTCATCTTCATCTTATCTGTCTTCTCGTCTTTAGGGGGCCCCTCTGCTGCTGCTGAGGTAGGCGGCTTCTCTTTATCTGCGTTGAAGACAACTTGCTGCTTCTTTTACTGCTTTGTTCAAACCTTAACATCTTCTCCTTTATAGAGGAGGGGCTTCTTATTGTCTCCTTTGCTGCTGCAGCAGAGACCCGCTGCTGCTGCGGGGGGCCCCAGGGGGCCCCTCCCTCTATTACTACTGCAAACGCTTCTCTATCGCTGCCGACAGCGGCTGCATGCAAGGGTTTAGGGTTTAGGGTTTAGGGTTTAGGGTTTAGCGTCTTGTCTGGTCTTGTCTTTTCGTTGCTGTCTGCGGCTCCGCCTTCTTCGCCTTGGGCTGCAGCAGCCTCTGCTGCTCTTGCTGCTGTATCTGCTGCTGCTGCTCCTGCTGCTGCATTTGCTGCTCGTACTGCAGCATTTGTCGCTGCTGCTGCTGCTGCAGTGTCTGTACAGCGCTGTCTCTGAGATGTCTTCCCTTCCCCCCGTCCCCCCTCGGTGAGTCTGTATATATTTTTATTATTTATTTTTATTTTTTAGGTTTTGTTTATCTCTTGTTTTTGTTTATTATTATTATTATTGTTATTATTATTATTATTGTTTTGTTTAGTGGGTTTAGCCTCTCGTTCTTTTGCTGTTGTTTGTCTCTGCTTGCTTCGCTTCTTTTCAGTTTGCTGTCTTCGTGAATACTCCCCAACATTTGCTGCTGCTGCTGCTGCTGCTGCATCTGCTGCTGCATCTGCTGCTGCTGCTGCTGCTGCTGAAACATCATTTGTATCTAACTATATGTATATATATATATATTTGCTGCATCTGCTGCTGCTGCATTTGCTGCTGCTGCACCTATCCCTCCCTTTCTTCTTCCGTCATTCCCCTCCTGCTCTATCCCTACCCCCTGCTGCTGCTGCTGCTGCTGCTGTTGCTGCTGCTGCTGCAGGGCGTCAAAGTCTGCTTTATGCCGCTATGCTGCGGTCGGGCGTTGTCAGAGAGGCTCTCTCTGTGCCTTTGCTCATTCACCTGAAGAGTTAGTGCTGAGGAGGGGGCCCCCCCGGCAAGGGTACAGCAGGGGGGGGGCCCCCAAGGGGGCCCCCCATCCTCAGGGGCCCCCTCCACCGTTTAATAGTACTGTCTCCAACTCTTTAAACCAGCAGCAGCAAAGAAATTCTAAACAAATGCTCTTCATGCGCTCATCACATCGACAGACAGACGAAGAGCAGCAGGGGGCCCCCAGGGGGGCCCCCAAAGGGATGCAAGGCCCCTTTCGCAGTGCTAATGCAGGAGCTTCAAACTCTGGAGTAAGTTATTATTATTATTATTATTATTATGCAGCAGCAGATGCAGCAGAGGAAGCAGAAGTCCAGTGCAGCGGGAGCGAGTTCAGCAGCAACAGCAGCTAGTGCAGCAGCAGCAGATGCAGCAGCAGATAGATTTAGGAGGAGTTGCTGCTCTTTGCTTTATGCCCCATCATACGGTCTTCTTTCTCTGCTGCAGCAGCAGCAGCTGCTGCTGCTGTTGCTGTTGCTTCTGGTAATTTGCTTCTACGACTGAAGTTACGTCTGTGCTTCATTCTCTCCTTGTGCTGCTGCTGCTGCTGCTGCTGCTGCTGCTGCTGCTGCTGCTGCTGCTGCTTTTAGGGGTTTGGAGGGCCTCGGCCTCCAAAGGAATGGAGGAGGAGGCTCCCTCAGGGTGAGGGGCTTCAGGGAGAGTCTCGCATGCAAGCAGCAGCAGAAGCAGCAGCAGCAGAGACAGCAGCAGGAGCCCGTGCTGCTGCTGCTGCAAATGATAAGGCCAGCGATGGCACATCGACACAGACATCGCCTGCTGCAGCAGCAGCAGCTGCTGCTGCTGCACCTGCCGCTGCTTCTGCGCCCACAGGTCCCGCAAATGCTTCAGCAGCATCTGCAGCAGCATCTGCAGCAGCATCAGCAGCTCTTGCTGCTGCAAGAAACACCGAAGGTGATCCCGCAGCAGCTGCTGCTACCTCGCTCGACGATCAGCAGCAGCAGCAGCTGCTGCTGCAGCAACCGAAGCCTCCACCAGGGGATTTGCATGCTAGCTCTGCTGCAGCTGCTGAGACCCCTTCTTTACATTCAAAGGGAGAGGGGCCCCCAGGGGCCCCTACGAAGACGCACCCACCGCCACCGCCGCCTCCTCCTCCGCAGAAGCAGCAGCAGCAGCAGCAGCAGCAGCAGAAGCAGCAGCAGCAGGAGAAACAGAGGCAGCAAACTCCCGAAGTGTGGAGCACCGACGGCCCTGTAAGCTGCAGCACTTGGGTGCTGCCAGCAGAGAAGCTGAGGGGCCCCTCAGATAACAGGTTTCTTGTCTCCTCGCCTCCGCAGCAGCAGCAGCAGCAGCAACAGACGGATAACGGCTGCTGCAGCATCAAACGCGGCGATATGGATGGAGCTGGGGCTGCTCCCTTCCCCCGCAAAGGGGGGGGCCCCCCTGCTGCTGCTGCTGCTGCAGCAGCAGCAGCAGCAGACGCAGAGGGGGCCTCAGGAGGTCCTGGGGTTTGTCTAGCAGCAGAAACGCACAAGAGGAACAGCCGTAGGCAGGGGGCCCAGCAAGGCTTCTCCGGGTATAACCAGCAGCAGCAGCAGCAGCAGCAACAGCAGCAGCAGCAGCAGCAGCAGGAAGCAGCAGGAGTCCCCTTTGCGTGCGCTGCCAGGGTTGAGGAGACAGCTGGCGATGCAGCAGATTCTAGAGGCTACAAGGCTGCTTCGCAGCAGCACACACAAGATCAGCAGCAGCAGCAACAGCAGCAGCAGCAGCAACAGCAGCAGCAGCAGCAGCAGCAGCATGCTGTTGCCTTTGGGGCCAACCATTTGAATTACTGCAGGGCCCCCTACGGTGAGGAGTGGGGGCCCTTTTGGGGGCCCCTACCCTACGGTATGCCTGCAGATTACGTGTTAGCAGCAACACAGCAGCAGCAGCAGCAGCAGCAGCAGGAAATGACTGCGTTTGGGCTAGCTAAGCTGAGGAGTCCCCTTGAAGGCTCTACAGCAGCAACAACACCCGCAGGGGTTGTGGGGCCCCCCTACAGCTTTGCTGCGGCTGCTGCTGCTGCTGCTGCTGCTGCTTGCTTCGACCCTTGCTCTTACCTCGGAAGGATAGCTATCATTAGGCAGCAGCCTGGCTTCTGCGAGCTGCTGCTGCAGCACGCCCCCACTTGCTACAAAGAATAAAGCAGCAGCAGCAGCAGCAGGTATGCTCATGCTGCTGCTGCTGCTGCTGTTGCCGTTCGTTTTGCAGCAATAGAGCTACCGGGTGCAGCAGCGGCAGCAGCCGCTGTTGCTGCGGTTGCTGCTGCTGCAGTTGCTGCTGCTTCAGCGGACACAATAGCGGGCCCCTCAGGCCCAGCAGCAGCACAGAGGTAGGCGAGAGAGCTCGTGCTGCTCTCTCCCTCTGATGCTGCTGCTGCTGCTGCTGAGGATTTGGGGGGAGCAGCAGCAACTTCCTGCGTGTCTATTTAAGAACATAAGAAAGGAGACACACCGTAGATAGCAGCAACAGAGTAGAGACAGAGGGGGCACCAGTGCAGCACGCAGGTGCAGCAGAGACAGCTGAGATGCAAAAGGAGACAGTTGAAGGGGAGATAACGTGCTGCTGCTGCTGCTGCTGCTGCTGCTGCTGCTGCAACCGAATTAAGGCATACAGACCAGAGGAGAGGGCAGCAACCACAGACAAACAAAGGAGACAGAAGATAGAGACAGAGACTAAAAAGGAGACAATAATAGCAAACAAAAGGAGACACTAACAATAAACAAAAGGAGACACTAATAATAAACAAAAGGAGACAGTAATAATAAACAAAAGGAGACAGAGGGACTAAGACAGAAACACACTCGCAGCAAGCAATGCCTTCTTGCTGCTCCATCACAGAAGGGCCCCTGGGGGGCCCTCCCCCTCTGTTGTATTTAGGGGCCCTTATAGGTTTAGCGACCCCTGAGGGTTTAGGGGCCCC